AAAAAGTAGCATCAGCCAATATTATTTCAATCGTGAATTAAAAGAATGTGTGTGATAAAGTGCATGGTAAGGCCCCGGAGCTAGAAGCTGCAAGGTTTAAAAATTTTCTACACAATTCCAAAAGAGAGCTTATCTCTTACTTTTATATCTTTTGGTATTGAAAAGGAATTAAACTAGAATTAGCACGGTCCATCTGTTTGATTAGAGAGAGAAAGAGACATGAGTACATTTTCTTGGCATGCAGATCTTCTATAAATCTTAGAGGAGTGTGGTTTTCCAGATTTCACTGGAAATTATTTTGATGACGTTCACCAATGCTACCAACATTAAGCACTCTTTTCTTTTTCTTCATTTTTCTCCCTTCCTACATACTTTTTAAATCTTCAAAAAATAGAAAACTGCCTAGCATATAGTAGATATTCAGTAAAACTTAGGGAATTCATTAGTGGGTGAATGAATGCATGGGTAACTAAATTAGGCATCATGAAATCTGGATTTTCATTCTAAGGCATTGGTAGGTATCACACCACCTAACAGAAATCTCTGTGCATTGCTTTTTACCATAGTAACTTTGAGTGAGTGGGTATGTGGGAAAGTGATGTGTGTTTCTTAGATTCCCAGGTAAACTAAAAGCCAGAGATTATAACTTCAAATGCCTACGTGGGTCAAGCAAGTAGTAGAGATGAGGAAAATAGGTGGATATCACCAAACAGGGAATAGTGGGGACTGTGGCCAACTGAGAGCAAAGGGGCCAACCTGTGTTTACAACATAATGGGAGCCAAACACAGCGCACCTGTGATCCAAGTTCACTTGCAACGTAAGTTCCTTCACAGAGGTCATTGTTTTTAAACCATCTCTGTCATATGTAAAGTAATAGAGAAATAAGTAAATAAGAAAAATATTAATCGCTAAAATTTATCAAGCACTACTAAGTTCCTGGAACTGTTCTGAATTTCATCTGACCTAATTTTAGTCATTAACAAAATTACCTCCATTTTACAAATGAGCACATTAAGGTATAACACTTACTAAATGTATGTTGGTTTCTCTGTTGAAAAATAATTGGATGTGAAGAAATTAAAAAAAAAAAACCCAGCACAGCAAAGAGCACACTAACAGTGCACTGAGGTGAGTCCTTAACCCAATAAAAGAAGCACTCACCAAAAGACAGACCATCAGAGAGTGCCGTTCAACTCATCTCCTGACATCTCCTGACATCTCCAGGTAGGAGGCTGGCGGTAACTGCACAGGTAGCTCACGAAACCACTGCGTGTCCAGTGGAGTTGACACACAGCACAGCTCTCTGCAATGTGCAAGGCCTGTCTCCCTCGCTTCGCAACAAACAAATAAACAAACTGTTTCTCCTCTGTGTTAAAATAACGTTAACAATTATGAGCGGCTATTGTTTATTAAGTGCTTATTTACTATGTGCTGAATATTTTGGGTGTTGTATTATCTCCTCTAATTCTCTCAGGGGCCCTGTGAAGGCAGCGCTGTTGTTCCCATGTTACAGGAAATTGAGGTGAATGAAGGCGAGTCACCTTCTGCCAGATCACACAGCTAGTAAGAGCCAGAACTGAGACAGGAATCCCGGCAGGTCCATCTCTAGAGCTCATGGTTGTGTCCACCGCCTGGCCATGCAAACATGGCTGAAAGAAAAGTGAATTTAACTTTCTATATGTTTGTCAACTGGATCTTCAAAATTGAAAATCCTTTTTTTCACACAGTCTTGCACTCAAGTCCAAATTATATCACAGAGAAGAGCAGACCATTTCTAATCAGGTTGAAGTGGAGAGTGGAGGGCCAGCCACTGCCTCCAGTAGATTCTCTCACGTTGATTTCTCCAACATCCGTCTCATTATCTTTACACTTCTCTGACCCCACCTCTTTCTCCCTGTCACTGGCTCGCTTCCCTCTCATCAGTGTGGGTGGACTCAAGACTCAGCACTCAACCTTTCATGTATTTCCTCCTCCACTTGCCCTCCAAGAGCACTCAACTCACAGATCTCCGTCGACCGCCACCCTGCGATGGCACTCATGCTCATCTCCTGGCCCAACTCCTAGATGCCTGGAGGGCAGGTGGGTTGGCATCTTTCCCAAAAGCCATGGTGGATTTAAAGTTGAGAGAATTGACTGGACTTTGGGTGCAGATGTGTTAGAGGGTGGTTCCTTCAAGCTGCTCAGAGCTGGCTTTGATTATTTTTAATTAACTGGTGAGGAGGGTCAACCCCTCTTAATACCCATCCCCCTTACCTACTCCCCAGCACACTCCCTTCAACAGGCCTAATTGAGGGGCTCACCCCTGAGGGGAGTGCTCAGGAAACATTTGCTTCATGGACAGATGGGTTGGCACAGGTTTAAAGTATGAAAATATTTCTCATCAACGTTTCTCATCTCAACTGCAAAATAATATAGTGATTGAGAACTAGATCTCTCTGAGCTACAAAATTGGGATGATAATACAGGTTTTGCTCCTCGTTTTGTTGGAGGTGGAAATGAGAGAAATCGAGTAAAGCCTGAGCAGTGACTGGCCAGTAATAAGCTTCAGTGCAAAGATATCTTTAAGAGTATTTTGTATCACTTTTCTTTTGAGGCAGTTGGTGAGCTCTGTAGCCCCAGGGATTACTAAAGCAAGGCCATGCTTCCTATATCCCCAGGCTTTTTTAAAAATTTAATTATTGTTCAAGTACAGTTTTCTGTCTTTTACTCCCATCCCAAATCACCCCCCATGCTCCCCACCTCTCTCCCATTTTCACCCCCTTTAGTTGTTGTCCATGTGTCCTTTATACTTATTCCTGTAAATCCTTCCCCTTTTCCCCTGAAATTCCCTCCCCTCTCCCCTCTGGTCCCTATCAGCCTGTTCTCTATTTCAGTGTCTTTGGTTATATTTTGCTTGCTTGTTTGTTTTATTGTTTAGCTTCCCGTTAAAGGTGAGATCATATGGTATTTGTCTTTCACCACCTGGCTTATTTCACTCAGCATAATACTTTCCAGTTCCATCCATGCTGTTGCAAAGGGTAAGAGCTCCTTCTTTCTGCTGTATAGAATTCCATTGTGTACATGTACCATAGTTTTTGGATCCATGCATTTAGTGATGGGCACCTAGGTTGCTTACAACTCCTGGCTATTATAAATTGTACTGCTATAAACATTGGGGTGCATAGGTTCTTTTGGATTGGCATTTCAAGGTTCTCAGGATATAATCCTAGCAGTGGAATTGCTGGGTCAAAAGGCAGGTCCATTTTTAGTTTTCTGAGAAAATTCCATACTGTTTTCCATAGTGGTTATACCAGTCTGCAATCCCACCAACAGTGAATTAAGGACCCCTTTTCCCCACAACCTTTCCGACATTTGTTGTTTGTTGCTTTGTTTATGATGGCCATTTTGACCAGTGTAAAGTGGTATCTCGTTGTGGTTTTAATTTGCATCTCTCTGATAGCTAGCAATATTGAGCATCTCTTCATGTGTCTCTGGATCCTCTGTATGTCCTCCTCGGAGAAGTGTCTGTTCAAGTCCCCAGGGTTTTTTAACTCAGCAGATAACTAAAGAAAGAGAAGGAGATGAAAGGGAAGAGACTTACAAATGCAGTACGTACATACTACTACTTGTAATGAGAGTTCCTTTATCCTTCTCATTGCTGTAACCTCACACAGTCCAGTGGGGGAATGACAGTTGGATTTTATTGCTGTCATGTATCCAGCGTTTCTCAAAGAACAGTCCCAGGCCCATGAGCATTAGAATCCCCTGGGCAGATACCCAATCTACAGCCTCAGAGTTCCTAGAGCAAGGCCCGGGCATCTGCCTCCCAAATGAATATCATTAGAATGCGAGGATCTTAGACTTAGTACTTGCATTACATAATGTAAAACTTGTTACTTTATGTGCTTATACTTTTACATGTAATTGTGTAATTTCTTCCTTATGATAAATTCTCTAAGGTGAGGGCAATATTTTCTAGTTTCCTTGTAATCCCAACAGTGTACAGCTCACTACTAAACACATCATTGGGAATAATGAAAATACTAGGCGGGGTTTAGCTTTCTACACTGCAGGGCCCTGACCTGTGGATGTTTAAAGATTGGTAGAGATTTCCAATTAGAACGTCAATTCACTAATACCCAATATTATTCAATATACCATGTGAGTTTTTAATCAATATTTTCTTGTAACCAGTTGGTTGCGTTCTCTTTTATTGAGTAAGCACTGAGATATCTGACTTGTTGACCAGGGAACAAAATTAACACAAGTCTCAGAATAACAAAGTCCCTTTTGAGTTTCCAAGTGTTCATAAAGCAGAAATCACAAGCCTTCCTGCCTAATCAGAGAAAGCTGGCCCTCTTCTATTGAAAATAGTTATTCAATGGGTATTTCTTGGTTTTGGAGAGAGAGAGACAGACAGACAGAGACAGAGAAAGAAAGACAGAAAAGGAGACATCGATGTGTTGTTCCACTAACTTATGCATTCGTTGGTTGGTTCTTGTACGTGCCCTGACCAGGGGATCAATCCCACAACCTTGTGGTATGCGGATGATGCTCTAACCAACCAAGCTACCTAGCCATGGCCAGTTATTCAACTTTTAAATATATTAATTAAAACCTTATTTTCATTGCAGGATCAGCATTGATATGTGCTAACTTTAGGGAACAGGAAGAACTTGTCACTTTATGATGTGTTTGGTGCTGAGCAATTGAGAGATTTGCCATATGCTTTTATGGTAGTTGGAGGTTCCATAAACGCCTTCCAGAATGTGGAGGTTCCACTATCAGAGTCAAATGGGAGCCTTTCCAGTTCCCTAATGTATTTAACTTAGCTGCTTTGTTTGCTGTGATACGCAATTATTTCTTCTACACTTAAAGAGCAATTCTCTGCTCTCCAACCCATTAACCATGTTTGATCTTAACAAGATGAAAAATGTTTGGAATCTAAGCTTATGATCTTTGTGATACATTTTTCTTCTTTTAATTCACAGTAGCTTTTTTCCTCCTTTCTTTTCTTTAGGATCAACACTCTGTGGTAGGCCAGAACACAGGCCCCAGTCCAAGTCCCAACTCCTGTTCAAATCCAAACACTGGAAGTGGTTACATGAACTCCCAGCAATCACTGTTGAATCAGCAATTGATGGGAAAGAAACAGACTCTACAGAGGCAGATCATGGAGCAGAAACAGCAACTTCTCCTGCAGCAGCAGATGCTGGTGGATGCGGTAAAACTTTCTCCTAACGTCTACTGTGCAAACCTACTGGGCCGACAGAGGGAGTTCATTATTTTCCATTTCTACTCACTGCCCTTTTCTCTGTGCCTATTTACATGACAGCAACAAGTGTGTTCTGGCTATAAGAGAAGTTAATTCTATACATACTCAGTGCTTTGGGGAAAAAAAAGAAAAAAACTTGATTTACCAACTGCTGGAAGGATGGAACGCATGGCACCTCGGCTCACTAACCCTGCCCAGCCCAGGAATGCCACCGACATGGGCATTTGGTTAAGCAAAAGAAACCAGTCTTGTCCACAGCCCTGAGGGGCAGAAGTAGTGAACTCTAATCACCTCAAATCCAAACTGATTTTAGAGATAAAAGAATTTTAAAAGCCAGCATGGAGTTTCACACATTAAGATATCACTTTCGAAATAAAGCATCTCAGAATGGGAGGTGTTTTTAAAGAAAATTGAAAATGTATTTCCCACTTCATCATAGTGAAGTGGCCTTGAAGAAAGTCAAGGCCGTTACTTCCCACACAGTATCCAAACCTTTATCCCTGCTTCAATATTTATCTGTTTATCGCTTCTGTTCTCTCAGACTTACGCATACACTCACCGACTGATCCAAACTCCTACCTCCTAAGATCAAGGCCCTATCTTCAGGTTTCATTCTCTCCCTTCAAACTATTTGGTCTAGTGAAAGAAGAAAGGGACAAAGTTAACTCTCCAGGTTGACAGAGACAAGGAGAAAGGAAAATAAAATTTAAAAATTATACACTCAAGGAGCTTTATAGAAAGAGTCAAAAATCCAAGATGTGATGAGCTCTATAATCCATTCAGGAAATATTTAGTAATTTACAATAAGATGTAGCCATAAACCAGACAGACCCTTTCTTTGTCCACATGGTGCTTGGAGCTCACTGGGGATATCAAATAAATATGCAGCTGCAATGCATGTAATTAAATGCTATGGTGTGGGCACTGCTAGAAATGGTTCCAGAAAGGAAGCTATATCCACTGAAGACCTGAAGGTGAAGTGAGAGATGCGGCTGAAGAGCCGGGCTTTACAGCCGGAAAAACCAGCACTCCCAAAGACCCAGAGACAATATACTGCATATTAAGTAGCTGAGGCATAGAATGTGCACAAGCATAGGGAAAAGCCAGAGAATAGAGCTTAAGACATCAGAATTTACAGAAGCGTTGGAGAAGATGTTAAGGATTTTAAACAAGGAAGTTCTAGATTTAGATTTGCGTTATAATAAAGGTATAAACACAGTAAGGAAAAATGTAGTGGGGGAAAATACAAAATCCAGCCTGGAGAGTTTGGGGATAGTCTCCCAAAAGAGGTAAAACTTGACTTTGAGGGACTGTAGGGTCCTGGTGGATAGAGTAGATAAGGCCCATCATTCAGGTGGAGGGTGGGCTGGAGACCAAAAAGCACAGCCTATGTATGTATTTGTTCATCAGACTGAGGGTGTATCATGAAATGCTTAATACGTAATGGAAAGTATACATAATACTATAACAATTATTGATATTTTTAGGAATGACAAATGGAATAAGTTTGGAATTCAAAGCATAGAAGAAGACGTAAAAATAAATTTATTTGAATTTGAATAAGGAATTGTGAGAAATAAATTTACAGGTTACCTTGAGTATTGCTCTACGTTGTAAGGTGCAAGGGTGTCCAACTCATGACCTGAGGGCTGCATGCAGCCCAACATAAAATCGTAAATGTACTTAAAACATTTTTGTATTGCTCATCAGTTTCATTAGTGTTTGTGTATGTAGTATGTGGCCCAAGACAACTCTTCTCCTAGCGTGGTCCAGCCAGAAGCTTGGACACCCCTGGTAGGGGAACCACTGAGAGAAAGTGACCCATCTGACTCCTTCTGCAAATCATAGTTTTGAGAACTCAGGTTCACTCACTCACTCACTCACTCCCACTTTTTTTTTACCTTATAAACTAAATAGCTTAGAAACAAGGACAGTAGAAGAGAAAAATGCACCGTATAAGATTAACTTCCCGGTTACCCTCTCATTACTCCAATCAGCAATACTAACCTGTTGAATTATATAATCTGCATAGGTTGAGTGTCTGAAGTTGCAGCTCTGATGGAAAGGCGAGGAAGCACTCCGACAGGGTCCTGTCCTGGCTCTGGCCTCTCCCCCATTGAGCCCAGCTGAGTCTCTGCTGGGACAGGTGCAAAGGGCAGGGACCTAAGCTGTGAGGGATGAATGAGACCAAGGCTACTGCTTTTGTGGTTTTTATAAACCATTCACATTTCTCTTGTTTGGATGCCATTGAGGGTGCCTGTACTTTTTAGCATATTCAGGAAGAAACAGTCTTTGATGCCACTTTACATTAGCATATGCTTTGTAGTCATTCGCAGTCAGTTGGCAAGACCAGAGACGTGCCTAAATTGAGACATTTGCTCCTGAAAGTGTGTTATCCTTACTGTCTGTTACTCTTCCACCAATGAAGCACAAGGAGGAGAGATGAGTGGAACTTATGACAATGGATATCATAATTATCAACATGTTTTGTGTGCACCTACTATGTACCAGGTACCATGCTGAGCTTTTTCAGAATTAAAGAATTAATCCTTACAAAAGGAGTATGAGAGAGGTCCTAGTATTATCCCCATTTTGCATTTTGAGACGGCAAAGCTGAAGCAGGACAGTTGGATATCTGCAGCAGAAGATTATCTCTATATTAGGTTTGTAGGTCCAAGAGATTGGGTTATCCTGAGACATTAGTTGATAAGTTTAATTTCATGGTGCACAGAAGTGATCTCAGGGATGCCTGTGAGTTTACACTCTTGTAGAATGGGAATGTTATTCTCTAGCAAACGAAGCAGTCTCCATTCAGTGTTGGAATCTGGTCTTTTCTACTTTTCATCACAAAGTGACAAATTGGCTGTTGTGGGGTAGCCCATATGCAAGACCATTAAATCTAACTCATTTGTGAACAAGCAGTTCAAGAAACTCCAGTTTCCAGAGATGTATATGTTAACACTTTGAGTAACCAGATTTAGCATTTGGGAATAAAAGTCAGTAATTAAATTACATATATATAAAATAAGTCCAGATTTAAAATCCAGTCTTTAATGGGTAGCCGAAAGCCTGACTTCTCTCTCACTCTCTCTCTCTCTCTTTCTCCCCCTCCCTCCCCTGCCTTCTTTCCCTCTGTCTCTCTCTCTCACACACACACACACACACACACACACACACATGACACACACATGAAGCCTATTTTCTTCAATATAAACAGCAGAAACACCTAATTACATAAGAAAAAATAATAGATGCTTTTGAAAAAGAGAAGATTTCAGAAAGTCTCATGCTTGGCATACAAATCAAAACTGTCAGCTTGCACAATAGTTTACAACAAGAATGGCTGAACATTGCCACATTTGGGTTCATAGAACATCTCAGGCTGTTTTTTAAACATTTAGGGTTTGGGTAAAACCAAAGTGTTTCACCAACCACTTTTTCCCTTAATTTGTAAACCCATATTTAAAAGAAATGTAATCCATATGTTTCTGATTCATTTACACTTAGCTCATCAAAATTGCATTTTATATGAATTACTTGATGCCCAAGAAACCATGTGAGTCTTTCAAGTTGTTTTTTTCTTAGAAACAAGAATTTGAATTTGGTTTCTTGTTGTTTTAAGGCTGGTTTTTTCCCCCTGTATAGTAAATTTATTCCACTTAGGAAGTTTGAAATTTGGTGGGAAACTGAGAAATACATGGTTTAAGTGGTTGTAAGTCCACATTTGGCTTCCATCTGATTTACCCATTTATCTGTTAAAAGGATTTCTTTTCCTTTTGACTTTTCTGTAATTACAGTGTCCTCCGTCTACCTATGCCAATTATTTTTATCTTTGAAAACGCAGGTTGCTTTGGGGTGCAGTGAAACAATTTAAAAAATTCCTGATCCGTGCTGAAAAAGGAAAAAAAAAAAGCAGTCCCTGATGTGCAGAACTGATAGGACACTCAGCGCCAGGCCATTTTGTCCTCTGTTGGACATGTCACATAATACTAACCTCAGACAGGGCTACTCTGAGACCAGGATAAAATGAGGCAAAGTTAAGTCCACTTCAACATCTTGTCTAAAAACAGATATAAACAAGGTCACTGTGCAACCCACAAAATACCCAAATCTCCCTGTTTATCTAAATGAGTGACAGCTACATCATTCTCAATCACTCAACCAACCTCACTAAGTTTACAATCCAGAACAAACCCTTACTTCCTTACACCCTCCCTAAATCCCCCAATCAATGCCTGAATCCCATAACAGTTTCTTTCTAACATGCTCCTACACAGGCACCCAGGGTCCCCCATGTTTTGCATTCTCCCTCATTGCAATGTAAAAGAATGTCCCCTGTGTCCTCTCTTAGCTCCCAAAGAAACCTGCTCTAAAGATTTACAGGTGGGTGATTTCAGAAGGCAGAGAAGATGGGAGCCTGGGAAGTGTCTGTGCTTTGAGAAGGGAGCACAGAGAAACAGAGCAGCAAGGGGCCCTTCTGTGGTAGGCAGGAAAGAGCCTGAGTTTTTGACTCAGGATTTGGTTTCTGTTCTGCTGCTATATGATCTTATGTACGTTACTTAGCTTAAGAAAGCTTCTATTTCCTGATCTAGGAAGTGGAAATAACATACCTACCTTCAAATATTGTTTACGAGAGGTAAAATGAAGTGAAATGCATATAGCACCCCTACCAGTTAAGAGTTGCCAGATTTAGCAAATAAAAATACAAAATGCCCCAGTGTCTTGTATTTTATCTGGAAATTCTACTCCTATGCTTTCTATGTTGGACCAGACCTGTACACAGGGTGGGGCAAAAGTAGGTTGATAGTGAGTACATGAGACATAATTTATTCTTGTATTATTAATTATTAATTGTAGTATATTTCCACATAAATAACTGTAAACCTACTTTTGCCACACCCTCTATAGGTGCCAAAGCACATCAGGTATGCTACAAAATAAAACCAGAGCCCTGGCCAAGTGGCTTAGTTGGAGCATCTTCCTGTTCACCAAAAGGTTGCAGGTTTGATCTCCAGTCCAGGAACATACCTGGGGTGAGGGCTTGATCCCCTGCCAGGGCACATGCAGAACCCAATGGATCAATGACCTTTCTCTCTGTCTCTTTCTCTCTGTATCTCTCTCTCTGTCTCTCTCTCTCTCTTCCCCCTTTCTCTTTCCCTCCCTCCCTTCTCTCTCTAAAATCAATAAACATATCCTTGGGTAAAGATTAAAAAAAAACTAGAACTGTACAGTCAAAAATCATACAAATTTAGTTCTCATTAAAACTTAATTGCAAAATAAAGAAAATTAGAGTAATTGCTAGACCCAACACATATGTTGAACATTAGGGAAAGTAGAAATTACACTTCCATGCAGAACGATTATTGACACAGAAAGGAGAGACTACTAAATAAGGCCCATGAATCACAAGTATGGCTGTAAGATCGTTCTTATATTCTTTTTTGAATAACAGTCTATAAATTTTTACAAGTGAGAAGGTAATAGTATATATATAATAATTCAATGTTTTCATTTGTGTTTTCAAGGAGAAAATTGCTCCACAGGATCAGATAAACAGACATTTGACAAGGCCGCCCCCAGATTACAAAGACCAAAGAAGAAATGTGGGTAACATGCAACCGACTGCTCAGTATTCTGGTAAGTGTTCTCAAAAATTAATAGAAATTATAATTGTGGAAAGAAAAAAACTGTTTAGTTTTTGATATTTCCTCTTTTCCGCATCTCATTTTTAATTGTAACATCTTTCTTAGACTCCTTCACTACCTCCCATATAACTTTCAGATCAAGACCAAATTTGAATATTTTTAGTTTTCATATCATTTCTTGCTTAATCTTGTCCCATATTCACGTATTTCACTGCTCTCCATACTACCTCTGAGAGTTCAAAAAAATCTTCGATATTTTCTAACTACTGGGTTCAACCATTCTCCTCCTAATGACATGTCTTGATGCATATAAGGTAAGTAGACATCTCTCTGAGTCATATCTCTAACTTGCTCAGAGCCCAAACTTTTTGTCTCCACCTTTGGACTCATGTACCTAACACAGATAGTCCTGCCACCAAGAAATAACTAAAGAGCAAGATGAGCCCTGGCTAGTGTGGCTCAGTTGGTTGGAGCACTGTCCCATATAACAAAAGGTTGCGGGTTCAATCCCTTGTCAGGGCACACACCTAGGTTGCAGTCAGGGTACAAATGGGAGGCAACCAATCAATGTTTCTCACATGACATGTCTGTGTGAGAAACACACACATTAAAGGAACTTCTTAATAGAGCTCCCTATATCACAAAGCACCACCCCTAAAATCTCTCCTCTCACTCTCTGAACTCCAAAAGAGCTCTCCCAAACAGAGCTTTCTCCTATTCACCATCTATTCAAGTTCCTTCTGACCAGAATTCACTCCATTTTCTCATGTAAATTAAGCTTGTCCTGGAATTTCCCAAATTCCTTCCTTCCTTCCTTCCTTCCTTCCTTCCTTCCTTCCTTCCTTCCTTCCTTCCTTTCTTTCTTTCTTTTTTAACTTTTTTTATTATGCCATTACATTTGTTCTATTTCCCTCCTTTCATTCCCCTCCACCCCACACACCCCTCCCCCACCATTCCCCCCATTAGTTCATGAACACGTGTCTCAAGTTCTTTAGATTCTATATTTCCCCTACTATTCTTACCCTCTCCCTATCTATTTTCTATCTACTGTCTATGCTACTTATTTTCTGTACCTTCTCCCCCCTTCTCCCACTCCCCTGTTGCTAACCCTCCATGTGATCTTCATTTCTATGGTTCACTCCTGATCTAGCTGTCCTCTTAATTTGCTTTTGTTTTAGGTGTGGTTGTTAATAACTGTGAGTTTGCTGTCCTTTCACTGTTCATCTTTTTTATCTTCTTTTTCTTAGGTAAGTCCCTTTAACATTTCATATAGTAAGGGCTTGGTGATGATGAACTCCTTTAACTTGACCTTATCTGAGAAGCACTTTTTCTGTCCTTCTATTCTAAATGAAAACTTTTCTGGATAGAGGAGCAACCTTGGTTGTAGGTCTTTGGATTTCATGAATTGGAATACTTCTTTCCAGCTCCTTCTTGCCTGTAAGGTCTCTTTTGAGAAATCCGCTGACAGTCTGATGGGAACTCCTTTGTAGGTGACTGTCCCCTTATCTCTTGCTGCTTCTAGAATTCTCTCTTTCATTTTAATCTTGGCTAATGTAATGATGATATGCCTTGGTATGTTCCTTCTTGGGTCCAACTTCTTTGGGACTCTGAGCTTCCTGGATTTCCTGGAAGTCTATTTTCTCTGCCAGATTGGGGAAATTCTCCCTTATTATTTGTTCAAATAAGTGTTCCACTCGTGGGTGTTCCTCTTCCCCTTCTGGTACCCCTATAATTCGGATGTTGGAGCGTTTAAAGATGTCCTGGAGGTTCCTAAGACTCTCCTCATTTTTTTGAATTCTTGTTTCTTCATCCTTTTCTGTTTGGTCATTTTTTCCTTCTTTTTGGTCCACTCCTTTGATTTGAGTCCCAGTTTCCTTTCCATTACTATTGGTTTCCTGTGCATTTCCATTCATTTCAATTAGTTTGGCCTTCATATATTTCTCTAATTTGTGACTAAAATCAACCAGTTCTCTGAGCATCCTGATAGCCAGTGTTTTGAACTGTGCATCTGAAAGTTTAGCTATTTCTTCATCGCTTAGATTTATCAGCTCTGGGGTTTGAGTTGTTCTTGAACCCAAGTTCTTTATGCTTTACCTATTACCTTCGTCTGTTCAGGAAGCCGTGAAGAAGAGTGTCTGGAGACAGAGGGGCTGTGAACACGCCTGTTTGTTAATTTTTCTGGTCCTGTTATAAATATATTGTTCAGATTTGTGTCTGAATTTTTTCAAATGCACTAGATTGCCTCTCTCCACTAAAATTAGGAATGGAATATATGTATTCCCCTCCCTAAGATTACTTTGCCTCAGGTTAGAAACAGGGTTCTCTAGATGTTCCTGCCCTCAAAAGGGTTGAAAGAGAAGACAGGGTTTATTTCAATGTGGTTTCTAATACAACAGCCTATCAGGGGTTTTATGGGAAGCTACCTTTGAAATTGTATACAAAGTTCAAGGTGGGTGTTTGGACTTTTCTTTCCCTTTCACATAAAAGGGAATCCCAAAGGGTGGTAGTCTGAGGCTAGTTTGGTGGCACTACCATGTTACCAGGGATCCAGGCTTCTTTTATCTTTCTGCCCCACCATTGTTAGCATGTAGCTTCTATTCTAAGGCTTGCTGGGTCCACCATACCTGCAGCTTTCACATCCATATTCCAGATAGAAAGATGGAAGAAGGAAAAAAAATAACACAACCTCCAAAATGAATCAGACTCCCTGTATTTAAAAAAAAAACAAAACTTTTTAAAGTAACATTGGTTAATAATGTTACATAAATTTTAGGTGTACAACAATATTTGATATCTGTACACCTTATCATGTGCTCACCATCAAAAGTCGAGTTTCCTTCTGTTACCATGTATTTGACCCCCTTGACCTAGTTCACTCACCGCTCCTCCCCAGCTCTCTTTCTCTCTGATAACTACCAACTTGTTATCTTTATCCGTGAGTTTGTTTTTGTTTTCTTAGTACATGTTACTTTTTGGTGTTATATTCTACATATGGGTAAAATCATATGGTTTTTGTCTTTTTCCATTGACTTATTTCACTTAGATCCATTCCTTTTGTGACAAATGGCAATATTTCATCTTTATTTATGGCTAAGTATTATTCCATTGTATATATACTGGGTGGAGCGAAAGTAAGTTTACAGTTGAAAATATGTAAAACAGGGTTTATTCTTATATTATTTATTAATTATTGTATTATTTTTCATTTAAACAACTGAAAACTACTTTTGCCAAACCCTGTATATATACCACACTTTATACATTTGTCCATCAATGGACACGTAGGTTACTTCTGCATCTTGGCTGTTATAAACAATGCTGCAGTGAACATGAATCAAATTTCCTTTTAAAAGTAGGTTTCCTGGACTCTCACCTAATAACTTCTATCTTTAGCCCGAATTTATTTATATGGATCTGTCCCCCACCCTTTACTTCCCCTCAACCATCAACAAGAAAGTTTGGAAAATGTGGATTTTCAGCTGGAAACTTACTACAAAGTCAAGGCTCTGTTTCTAAGAAAAACAGGGAAGCTGGATATTTAGTCGGCACCTAGAAGTGTCTTCCACAGTGCGTATGGGCATTTTCCTCAGGGAGAGTCCTCAGCATCCCACTGCTGATCCCCGAGTGGGTAAGAATCACTGCTCTAGAGTGTGGTACTTCCAAGTCTTCTGAGAATGAAATAAACAACAAGCAGAACACCAACTCTTTTTATCATTTTTATCTTAATGTCAATAAAATAATAATCATTTTGCCCAAATGTTAATATCAGAAGTGATGTCTGAAAAGCACCCGGAACAATTTCTATCATATAGTATGAGTTTTGAAATATTAATTGTGAATAATATTTTGTGATATTTATGGAAATTATCTGTACTCTGGTTGTTTAAAAACACTGCTGTCCTTATAAACCTTCTCAAGGCATATTATTAAAATAGAGAGCAGCACCCAGAGGGAGTGATTGTCTCAACCTTTAAAATTTTTCCATAGCATTTTCATAGTGTAACGTCTGTTCTCATGAAACTTTTAGGTACCAAGATGATGTTGCTTGACCTCATTAGCAGACTGTGGACTCTGAGTTATTGTTCAGGAATCTCCCACCCAACTCTGATCCCTCTTCATCAAACACTTTTTGCCCTACACAATTCACAGCCCCATGCTAAGTCTGGAGACACAAAGAATACTGCTCCTGCCTTCAAGGGGTATATCATCTAATTGGAGACATATTTTAAAACACACAGTAAAGCCAGCAGCCTGTCGTGTTGTGTACTATGCTAGCTATCCACGAGCAGTAGGGGACGTCCTAGGGTTGTGACTGCAGCTATGCTGTCCTCATACTCTGCCATCCTAATATCTGTATGTGTGTCTAGTTCTCTGTTTCTCAGTATCTGATTCTCTGGAGGGAGAGTACTCTAAAAGAGTGTCTTTCTCCAACTTATATCTTTGTTTCACTCTCTCATTCATTCATTCATTCATTAGATTTCAGTTAAATACCTACTTTGCACCATCCACTAGACTTGGAGAATGTGCGAGTGGACAAAACAGGCAAAAATTCTTACCCCATGGAATTTATCATCCAGCATGTACTTAAAAAAAAATCTTTCAGCATCTTACTTTTGCTGCTCAAGATGTCTTCCCATGATGACTTTAATCTCCCCAAGCCAGGGAGATTTCAATGTGTTAATTAATTACTATCTGATGTGTGGAGCCTCTCTATTCAGCAACGTATTATAGGAAGGCCCCACATCCTTTCACTTATGGACAGGCATCAACATAGCTGGCAGGCCCTCAGAGGCTCCGTAGATTGCCCAATCCAAAAGGCTAAGTGCTAAATGAAAACTTTAAAGAGAAAATGCTACTGGAGAGAGGAGGCTGGAATATCAGGGAAAGTTTAATGAAGCACCGTGGCCTGAACCTTAAAGAAAAGATAGAGCTTAGTGAGGCTCATGGTGTATGGATTACAATGCAATAGTAACTGTACCTCCTGGAGCAGAAGGCTTTCCATATGGAAATAGCCACTGAAGCACTGTTACATTGAATTCCAGATGTTTAAAGAGATAGGAAGTTACCCTTTGGAAACAGGAGCCACTTGGGGCAGCTTCTTGAATAAGGATGATTCAGATGAAGAATTGGTGATTTTCAAGGCCGGACATGTGTCCTTAATAACTTATTGCAAAGTGCTAAAAAAAAAAAGAAGAGATAACCTACTGCTATGCGCTAATATAATTGTCTTCTTTTTCTTAGGTGGCTCGTCAACCGTGAGTTTAAACTCTAACCAGACTTTGGCAAACCCAGCTTCAACACATAGCATTTTAACTCCAAATTCCAGCCTCATGTCTACTTCCCATGGAACGAGAATGCCATCGTTATCCACAGCAGTTCAGAACATAGGGATGTATGGAAGCATGCCTTGCAACCAACCTGGCACATACAGCATCTCTTCAGGAATGAATCAGTTGACCCAGCAGAGGAATCCAAACCAATTGATAACAAATCAGAACAACCCTCTAATGCCGCGGCCACCTAACTTAGGGCCAAGTAGTAATAATAATGTGGCCGCTTTTGGAGCTGGTCCTGTTGGCAATTCACCACAACTGAGACCAAATTTAACCCATACTATGGCAAGCATGCCAGCACAGAGAACGTCAAATGTAATGATCACATCCAACACAACAGCACCCAACTGGGCCTCCCAAGAAGCAGCAACCAAACAGCAGGAAGCCCTGAAGTCCACAGGAGTCCGCTTCCCCACAGGTGCACCTGCAGCCTATACTCCAAACCAGTCGTTGCAACAAGCAGTGGGTAGCCAACAATTTTCCCAGAGGGCAGTGGCTCCTCCTAACCAGATAACACCAGCAGTGCAAATGAGACCCATAAACCAAATGGGCCCGACATTGAATGGACAAACCATAGGCTCACTCAGAAGTCTGAATCTCAGACCCAGTCAGCTAAGCACACAGATTTTACCCAGTTTGAACCAGTCAGGAACGGGGTTGAGTCAGTCAAGGACAGGCATAAGCCAGCCACCATCTCTGACACCTGGCAGTTTTCCTTCACCCAACCAAAGTTCAAGGGCTTTTCAAGGAACTGACCATGGCAATGACTTAGCTTTTGACTTTCTCAACCAACAGACTGATAACATGGGCCCTGCCCTAAACAGTGATGCTGATTTCATTGATTCTTTATTGAAGACAGAGCCTGGTAATGATGACTGGATGAAAGACATCAATCTTGATGAAATCTTGGGGAACAACTCCTAAAGGAGAAAAAGGAGACAATTCACCAACTCCGAGCACTAAAAGGCAGTATTTTACAAGGACTCCGGAAAGGCTAACTGTTGACTTTTAGTAGGACTACCTGAAGATACCATGGCTTAAAAGTGGAAAGCAGAAAGTAACTATGGTAATGAACATTTTGGTCCAAAATGCCCGTTTTAAATCTCAAACCTGAAAGGAAAACCTTGGGATCACTTTTCCCTGTCTAAACTCCGGACACAGTATCCAACTTATCCAAACAGAACTGTGATGTTGATGTGTAATTAGCTGTGTAAAATAGGCTCCCCAAGCTCCTTTTCTCCCTGAAAGAAAAGTAATACAACTTTTAGCTTGTTTAAACTCCATGTCATGCAGAGGTATTAGTTCCAATTAACAAGCAATGAATTCCTTAATTTGTTCTCATAGATACGTGTGGTTTCATCTTTCCACTTTATCTTTTCATTTAGTTTTCCCAAAACTCCCTAGATTGAAATGTTACAGGTTCGTTTGGAGTAACCAAACACTGTCTAAGTAAAGAAAAGCTGGAGAAACTAGAGGACATCTAGTGAATTGTTGAACATCTTCTCCAGATTCACCGCTCACTTTTTCCGTTTTCCCACCTACCCTCTACTTCAGTAAGATGCTGTATTTAGTGATGAGACATGAATGCAGAGCTGCCCACAACCAATTTCCATGTTTATTTCCAAGTCTTAGTTGCAATAACAACTTGTCTAAGTCAAACTGAAATATTACTGCACATATGTCTGGATCAGATTTCACTATTTAAAAAAGAAAGCACCCCATTGGACATTGCTATCAAGGAGCTTTATTTGGCCACAAATAACATGGGGTGTTGTGTATTATAATGGTCCCTGCTGGTTAGTTCCCGAGCTGAGTGAAATTGGGTCTGGTCGTCCCTGATTATTTTGATGACTAGAGACTGATTGGTAAGAAAAGAAAGTTTGGAGGTCAAAACTGAGGTTAGAAGGTATCATGTTTCGGTTGAAGACAAGAAGCAAAAGATCAGACCAGGGATGGCGGGTATGGGTGGGTGCAAGTCTACTTCGTAAGCTTTGAAGGAAAGCGTAATTGAGAGATAAAATAATCTGTCCTTATTTGGACATATTGTATGGGTAAATAGCTACATGGCGTGTGATCTGTTAGTAGCAGCAGTCTATTCATTCTTCTGTCCCTAAAGTGATGAATCATTGCCACGTGCTAAATGGACCCTTTGTATGCAGGTTTTCTCCCCCAGGGTTCGGCACTGTATCACAGAAAGAGTTGGTGAGTCATGTAGCCTCGGTGCCCACAAACAGATCAGCTGTAGCATGGGGAAACTGTGTGCTGATTTGAGATGGATGCAAAATATCACTATCATTTTCCTCATTACAGAGGAACACAGGTTAGCTTCAGCTTTTCAGTTACAGGTGTATACTCACATATTCAAGTATCAAATGTAATTTAACTGAAGTCGTTTAATAACTAAATCTTTAAGTATCTGTTCTTAAACACATTTTGGCAGTTCTGAAGAACTCTCTCCTAATCTTTAAAATGTCTAGAAGCACTCTTTTTTACACAATACCAACATCAGTGGCCCAGAATCTTTTCTGTGCTAGGTTGTAAATATGAATAAATTACTTGTTTTGTAAACTTTTGTAAAGAATATTTTGGTAGAAATACTTAAAACATATTCTTTGGGTTATATTTATACTTATGTGAAATAAATATACTATCAAAAGGTTATATTTTATACAAAAAGTAAATTGTTACCTTTTGTATGCTAACATACAAAGTTTTGTATAATATGATGGTTTATTTTTAGCTCTACACTTAATCCATAGGTGGTCAAGTGGAAACTCTTAAAAACTATCAAGAAGCTTGTTAGACAAATTTATATTCTGAAACCTCAGTAAGAAAGCATTCCAGGTTTCAAGCCTTCCTTTTTTTTTTTAATTGTTCTGAAATTCTTTTTTAAACCCATAGTTCTTGTGTCTTGTTTGATTATTCTGCTGTGCACATTGTATCAGTCCTTGTTGCATGTGGTCCTACTGTGTGTTTTCCCATTTTTATAGAACAGTGTTTTCTCCATGCAAAAATGTAAGGAAAAAGTATGTACATACAAACACTTTTACTTTACAGCTCCTCCGTGTTACTGTGTATATCTGCCAGCACTTCCCAGTCACACGCCCATGGTTCAGCTCATTTTTACCCTAACATAAATAGTTCGTTTTGTAGTAGTTATCAACTTTAAGAGATAAAGCAATCAAAATGTTTGGATTTTCTTCTATCTTAATGTGAATTTTATAATTGATGTCTATTTATTCAGCTATTCATTAAAATACAGGATTCTTTGGAAAAAATGGTGTAGTCTATAGTTTCTGTTTGTTGGCAGCCTATTACCAAAGATGACGTAGTTTTCCTGAAAGCTGAGATAATGACAATTTGATAGACATATGTAGCGAAAACTTTGTGATTTATAACATAAAAGCTATTGGAATATGATCTCTCATTTACAGAAATACCGGGCTTCTTGTTGGCATTATATCTCATTCTGACAATATTATAAAAGGGGTAGAAGTAATGTTCCTTTTTTAATTCAAAGACTAGAAAACAGTTTAAGCAAATAATTCATTCTTGGCTTTGTGTTAAGCCCAATGAAAATAAATAACTCTGCTGTAAGTGAATGCACTAATATACTTGCATTACTGTAACTGTACCCATAAGTGTAAAGATTTCAACTTGTAAAACGAGTATTTTGTATCATGTGTAATTTTAAGTGTTAAAAAATAGTTTTAAAAAATTCAAAAGTAGTTCTCTTGTATGAAATCATAATCTCAAATGTTGTTGCTACATCACAGAAATTTCTGAGAACTATTAATAGTGAACTATTAATGGGCAAATTTATTTTCTAGGAAGTTTCTAACACTAGTGAAATACTGACTTGTCTCATTTTAACGTTCTTTAGTTCGTCAGAACGTTTGTATTAAGATCCTATATACACAGCACCTTCTAAGAAATGGAGAAAAACTGCCTAATTCTCAGGCATGATGGGCCTTTGTGTGGCCTCCTGTGTAGCGCCTAGTCAGACAGGCCGAGTAACAATGGGCCAGGTCAACACAGCCTCACTGAGCATCGTTATTCAGTTCTTCCTGAGAGTTACAGAGGTTGAAAGAAAGATGGGACTTTGAAGGGAGGTGCAGGGAACATTCTAACCAAATTTTCTTGTTCTGCTGTTGAACTGTATTGCCAGGGTTCCATTGTCTCTTTCCCCACTGCCAAAAAGATGTATGACATTATCCTTTTTATTAGCATTATTAATGGAGCAATAATAAAAATGGATATTTATATAGTCACTGTATAATGACTCTGAAAGTTGGATAGTAACCAAATAAAATCAATAAATACCTACTAATAAAGAGAAAGAAATATGTAATTCTAAAATTATCTGTGAACTTCATCTGGTACCCATGGAGGTAGACCTGAGAAAGGGAATGAGAAAATAATAACGCAAAACGAGAGAGAACAGTTTAGTTCCCTCCTACTCTGTGGTTGCCAGAGGCAGTACAAATTCTTAAATGCTTTCTCCACTATTTCCATTTTATATCTCAGTAACCATGTTTCCTCACCCAAAAATAAGGATTTGGAGCTAAAATAGCTGTACATTCTTTTCTTACTCTAAAACTCTGCAACTGATTTTTTTTCTGAAACTAAGTGAAAAATTAACCAAAAAGCACTCAATGCCATCAGTTTTGGCATAAGGAAACGAGTGTTCACTTACCCTTTTGAGAAGTTTCACATTGGCAGCCAACTTTATTTTACAAAGTGGTCATCTCCATAAAAATTAAGTTATATGAAAATTGAGGTTCCTATAAATAGGCCAAAATTAGACTTAAACAGAAAGGCAATGCTGACATAGGTGCTCACTGACTTAATACAAATCAAGGGCTAAAGAACAAAAGCTTGTATGGGACATTAAACAGTTATTTCCCTGTGAGATCACAGAATTTCATAACGAAAATATTTGCTTACTTTCAGTAGTGTATTCCATTGGTTACACATTAGTGAACTTTTGTGAGTTGTACATGGCAATGTAGCCTCTTTTAAATATGCTTCTTAAATTCCTGTAATGGACAAAGTACATGCACTGCCCTAGTATCAACTTCATTGGCAACTATAACGTTGCCAAAACAGGACATGATGGGAATTAAGAAAACATATTGACCATAGGTTTTTGTTGTTTAATTTATTGATTTTTTTAGAGAGAGAGAGGAAAGCAGGGGTAGGGAGAGAGAGAGAAACATCAATTTGTTGTGCCACTTATTTATGCATTCATTGGTTGCTCCTTGTATAGGCCCTGATAGGGGATCAAACCTGCTACCTTGACATATAGAGATGGTGCTGTAACCAATGAGCAAGCTACCTGGCTGGGAGGCCATAGATACTTTAAAACCAAATGCTGTTGTCCCTGATCTGCATGCAGTAATATTAAAAGGGGGATTTTGTTTGTTTATATATCATAAATAGTATTTTAAGTTTCCTTTTCACCAAATTTAAGTCATCTTTAGCCCTAAGATATGCATAAATATGCAGATACTTTTTATAATACTGTTCAGCAAAATAGAGGAAGAGAGAAAGAATAATATATAAAAGCATAAATATATAAAAGCTTTTTATGGGGTTCTTTCAGCAAAAGAAAGGAAAGGGGGAAGGGAAAAAGAAGAAAGGAAGAAAAACATATCTCAAAGTAGGCTTAGAGAAAGGAATTTACTTGTTAACATAGCTCAAAAGTTGAGAAGCCAGTTCTGGGTTTTGTTTGCCACTGCTGAATCCAGCAGGTCAACAATGTTATCAGGTATTGGGGGTTTTTTCTGTCTCTCACCTTTGCTTCCTTGTGTCTTGACTATATCCAGCCCGAACAATAGTGAATACTTCCCTTTCAAAAGTTACAACTTTGCATCTTACAGGCTTTGATTAGGACTTGTGCCCATCCTTGACAATCATTGTTGCCAGGGAGGCATACTGTTCCAACTGGCCAGGCTTGAGTTAACTGCCTATCCCTAGAGGAAGGGTTAGTGTTAATACCACAATACCATGTGGACTGAGTGGGAAAGAGGTGATTTCCTAAAGGAAAATTAAGTTGCTATCATCGGAAAGAAAGGGGAGGAAGGAGGAAGGAGAGAAAGCAAGAGTGAGAGCAAGAGTGAGAGAGACAGAGAAAGGTTCTCCAGAAAGGAAGGCAGGAAGGAAGAACACAAATATCTACTATCCTTTTCTAGCTTCTCTGATTCCACACATACCTTTTTTTCTTATTTTCAATTTCAAAACCTCACTATAATCCAATCATACCTCTTCTCCCTAAGGAGGCAATCCAACTCTCATTTACTTACTATATCCACCTCCTATTCCAACCCTTCTAGGTGAGGTGAACTCTCTTCTGCCAGGTCAAGATGACCCAGCAATTGAAGCCCAAAGGATATTTATTCATCCTAAGTGTCCAGGTGGAAAAAGAACAGAATAATAGTAACAAAGAATTCTGTTTGGAAGAGAAACTGACATGTAAGTCATGTCCTTCTGAACAAGAGTAAAGACTATTCTACCTCTGAACATTCAAACCAATGATCTGGGGAGGAGCATTAAAAACTCCCTTTTCCCAGGATGCTTGCCCACTGCACACTGTACAATGGAAATAATCACCCCTTCCCCAGGGAGTATATTATATTAGGTGTTGGGAAAAAAAACAGGGAATCAGACTTTTCTCAAGTCCCAGACATATCTCCTGCTGTGATTCCCATCTGTTTGACTTAGTGTGCAATAACTTGAGCTTACAACTGAAAATTCAATTTTTCAAAAAGTATCACTGACATATAGTCAGGGAAACAAAAACCACTTCAAAAAGTCCAAGTGTCAGAGAGACTTAATGCAAGGAGTTGGTCACACAGGTGATGAATGAGCCAAGAGGTCAAATAGGGGTTGGTGAGGCCATCTTCAGATGAGGAAAAGCAGGAAATCACTCAACTCCCAGGATGAAAGGAGAAAAAGACCAGAGGTCAGGAACACCAGGCAGGTGCTGCGACCTTGTTTGGTCTGTTTGGTAAGGGCCTGATCTAGTGAGGAGTTTTCAGTTGCTAATGACAGAGGAAGAGAAGGAATACCCCTCCTGTCTTCTTCCACTCTCCAGGCAATGCGTCTCATCGGCTAAACTCAACTGGACCTCACTCACCCAGAAGGCTGGGAGCATAGCCTGGCACATTACAGACCAGACCAGAAAGGGGCAAGAAATAAATCTGCCAGTAAACAGGCCCACACTTGACACAACATGCTGCTGCACTCAGCCATCTTCGATTGCTGATTTAGAGCAAAGAGCAGCTTTCTTCATAAAGCCTAATCTTCTTCCTTCTCTACTTTCAATTACATCAATTGCAGTCTAGATGTGTCTATCTATTTTAGAATGGTATCTATTAGGAAATTTAAGCAGCGAGTGTTTGACTCCTCAACTAATGGTTTTAAAA